AAATCCCCCTTCTTTTGAGTGCCAGTTTGGACAGCAACACAGGAGCAAACAAGTTACTTTAACCCATTTTCTCCCGTGACAAATTGCTGTCTGGAAGTGGCCTATGTTAAGGTTTTGTGCATTTTTCTTTCTTTCACCGTCATCCACTTTTTATCATTTTCATTTTGATGACCAAATGTATATATCTGTACTTAGCAAAAAAGAGGCAGGCCACAGTTGGTAAACAAAGCTGGTTTTCTTTCACACCTTTTCTCCATTTTTATGTTTAAGCAAGCTTTGTAAAGGTATTTTGGAGATAGCTGCTGCTTACTTTGCCTGTTATAAGTAGACAGAGGCAGCTACAATGGATTTCTTTCTTTCTTTCCGATATTTCTATCTTGCCTTTCTTGAACCCCAAGGTGACTCAAGATGGCTTACAACCAGGCAGCCATTTGCTGGCTTAACAATACACACTTAAAACCACATTTAAAACAGAATTAAAAAGTACATACAATAAGACCTTTAAAACACTTATAAAACCAATACCTTCACTATTAGCCTCGTTGTCCAAAATCATCATCTGAGCTGTTCCAATATTCAATTTCACATAACTCCGTTTTATCTACATTTCAAAGGTTTGTTCAAATAGCCACATTTTCACTTTTTTACAGAAGGTTAAGAGGGAGGGGCCAATCTAATTGGCTAAAGGAGAATGCCATTTTCCCAACTCTAACTTTATTGCATTGATTACATACTGTACACCATACTGGGAAAAGTACCGTATGTGTTTCTCCTTTGCCATACTCCCAATGCCAATGTTACTAAAAATGTCCAGGTGAGCCAGGAGACAAAAAGGTAGAAGGGAACTGGGTGGGCTTAAAATAACTTGGCAAAAAGGAGCTCCATTGTCAGAACCTTTGTTTCCTGTGATATGTTTGTGCTAGAATCTACACCAGTTGGAACAGAGGAAGTAACTGTGGGACAGAGGAAAGTGTGGTTGGAAGCAGATTAGCTAGAAGTTGCAACCAAAATCATTTGTGGTTGCAACTTCTAGTTTCATCGAAATTCATTAGACTAACGGGAAAAGCACCAGAATGTTTACAATTTATGAAATTTGAGTTTGTTCTTTTAAAAAATGGAAGCTCACAGCTGGACGCAAACTATGTAGGAAAAAAATCAGAAAGTCAGAATAATGAAAGAAGACAAACACTTTATGAATTTGAGATAGGGCATGGGCAAGAAAATTGCAACAGTATGAGCATGTGGAAAATGCTTGCAGAGCTTTTAAAACAGAGGTGGACGATATTGTTGTCTTGCAAATATCATCAGTCTTACCTAGCGGATGCGTTAAAAACATTCAAGAATTATTGGAAACATGGGGAGGGTGTGAGAAGTAGACATTCTGGCAGCACAACTTTGATAAGTCAAGAATAATAAATTAATTACTTTTCTTATTAAACTAAGTTGTTCTGGTAGTGTGCTTTAAAGTGACCCTACCGCAGAGTTTTCCAGCTGCAGCTGGTTCAAAGAGTAAGCCCGTTGCCTTCCTCTGAGAGTGTGTGACTTGCCCAAGGTCATCCAATGAGTTTTCACAGCTGAGTGAGGGTTCAAACCCTGGTCTGCCAGAATCCTAGGGCCCTTCCACACAGCCCAATATCCCAGAATATAAAGGCAGAAAATCCCACATTATCTGAGTGTGGACTCAGATAACCCAGTTCAAAGCAGATATTGTGGGATTTTCTGCCTTGATATTCTGGGATATAGGTCTGTGTGGAAGGGCCCCTTCTACACAGCTGTATAAAATCCACATTATCTGCTTTGAACTGGATTATATGGCAGTATAGACTAAACCCCCTTCTATACTGCCAGATAATCCAGGTTATTTAAGAAGAAAATCCACATTATCTTATTTGAACTGGATTATTTTAGGACCCTTCCACACAGCCATATAACCCAGAATATCAAGGCAGATAATCCACAATATCTGCTTTGAACTGGGTTATTTGAGTTCACACTGCCATGTAATCCATTTCAAAGGAGATAAAGTGAATTTTATACAGCTGTGTAGAAGGGGCCTAAGATAATATGGTAATGTGGATTTTCTGCTTTGATAACCTGGATTAACTGGCAATGTAGAAAGGGCCCAAGTCTAACACTCAAACCACAACACCATGCAGGCTGCTTTTATTGAACTAAGGCTTTTACACAAATGAATTGTCACTGTATACGTTGATAGAGGCTCTTAAACATTTAAGAGGGAAATTCCCACTTTTGTACAATGAAAGGTTCAGGAGCCCTGCCACCTTCTTCTTGTGACAGACTCTGACATTGATGGATACAAAAGAGCAAAGAGAGCTTTTATTTTTAAAGTGGGAGGGTCCAACTGAGCATTTATGGGAGGCAGGAAATCTCCCTTAATCCTTCAAATGTACACTGAAATTTCCTTTGTTACACAACTGTGACAAAGTATGAACTCATCTTTTTTTTTTTTTTGCATCTGTTTGAACTACTGCTCCCAATTTCCCAACTTTTTCTTGAGAAGGAAAGAAGACTTTGCTCCACATTTGGCTTCTGCCTTCATTACAGCTTCTCCACAACCCCACTTGCAGAATGGATTGGTGACTTTCCTTTGTGTTGTGTATCCTCAAAAGGAAAACTGCTTCCTCTCTGGGCACAGCCATGCTGTTTTATTAATGAGGTTTGACACCACTTGAACTGCTAGGGCTCAATGCTATTGACATCTGAGAGTTATAGTTTGGTGGGCATGAGCACTCTTTGGCAGAGAAGACAAAACACCTTGTAAAGACCTTGTAAATCTACCATGATGCCATGACATCAACAAGTCAGAGGTTCGAATCCGGGGAGAGTAGGTTGAGCTCCCTCTGTCAGCTCCAGCTCTCTATGCAGGGACAGGAGAGAAGCCTCCCACAAGGATGGTAAAACATCAAACATCCATACGTCCCCTGGGCAACATCCTTGCAGACAGGCAATTCTCTCACCCAGAAGTGATTTGCAGTTTCTCAACACACACACACACACAAACTGAAGTGTTGCAAAACTGCACTAATATTACAGTGTAGCTATATTACAGTGTGTTTTCCCCCCCGAGAGGATTGGCATCCGCTGAATTCATCTATCTTCACAAGGGCTCAATGTTTTATCGTATCAGAAGTGAACCCAGGGTACAGTTGTAATGTATTTCAAAAACAAAGTTTAAAAACTTGGCATTATACTAAATGTCCTTTGACTGGTAGCTGGCTACTTGGAGTGCCTCAGGTGTTGCTATGAGAAGGTCCTCCATTGTGCATGTGGCAGGGCTCAGATTGCATTGTAATAGGTGGTCTGTGGTTTGCTCTTCTCCACACTCGCTTATCATGGACTCCACTTTGTGGCCCCATTTCTCAAAGTTGGCTCTGCATCTTGTGGTGCCAGAGCACAGTCTGTTCAGTACCTTCCAAGTCGCCCAGTCTTCTGTGTGCCCAGGAGGGGTCTCTCATTTGGCATCAGCCATGGCTTGAGATTCCAGGTTTTAGCCTGCCACTTTTGGACTCTTGCTTGCTCAATGAGAGTCCAGAAGGTAGCTCCCATGATCCCACAGTACTTAGCCAGAGTAGTTCAAGTGGTATCAAGCATCATTCTTTCTACAGCAGGCAAACTTGGGGCCTCCAGGTATTTTGGACTTCCACAATTCCTAACAGCCTCAGGCCCCTTCCCTTTGCTTAAGCTGCTGAGGGAGGAAAGGAAAGGGCCTGAGGCTGTTAGGAATTGTGGAAGTTGAACTCCAAAACACCCAGAGGTCCCAGGTTTGCGCATGCCTGGTCTACATTGTAAAGCAGTGGTTCCCCACCTTTGGTCTTCCAGATGTTTTGGACTTCAGCTCCCACACTTCCTAACAGCTGGTAAACTGGCTGGGATTTCTGGGAGGTGAAGTCCAAAACACCTGGAGGACCAAAGGATGGGAACCACTGGTGTAAAGGCACCTCGCAGCAGTCATAGAATCATAAAGTTGGAAGAGACTTCATGGGCCATCCAGTCCAACCCCCTGCCAAGAAGCAGGAATCACATTCAAAGCACTCCCAACAAATGGTCATCCAGCCTCTTTAAAAGAAGGAGCCCCCACCACACTCTGGGGCAGAGAGTTCCACTGCTGAACAGCTCCCACAGTCTGGAAGTTCTTCCTCATGTTCTGGTGGAATCTCCTTTCCTGTAGTTTGAAGCCATAGTTCCGCATCCTAGTCTCCAGGGCAGCAGAAAACAAGCTTGCTCCCTCCTCTCTATGACTTCCCTTCACATTGGACATGTAGGGGGGGGGGGTGTTTGAGGGGCTTCAGCCCTCCCCGAAATTCTCAGGATGGTCCCTGAGAAGGCCTTACTGGTACATTATTTAAACTGTTATGTTTATTCATATCATGATCTGATCACCATGCTCAATATATCCCATATGCATGGGGTATTGGGGTAACAATACAAAAGGTTTGCTAGGGTAGACCCTCTTTCACTCAGACCCCCCCCCCCCCCGGAATCAAAATCCTGGCTACGGGCCTGCCTCACGTATTTATACATGGTCACCATGCCTCCTCTCAGCCTTCTCTTCTGAAGGTTAAACATGCTCAGCTCTTTAAGCCGCTCCTCATAGAGCCTAATGTTCCGATGGAATCTCTTTTCCTGTAGCCTTTTGAAGATTCAAATTGCAGGCAAAGAGATGAGGTTGAGAAGTGTTTGGCAGTGGCCTGTGCGGCCAAGGCGTGTGGTGGAGTCTCTCTTCCTTGGGAGGATTGAAGCAGGGGCTGGATGGGTGGCCATGGGATTGTGCCTTCCTCCCTAGCAGCGAGGATATTATGGGCTGGAGGCCTTTTGGGGGCTCTTCCCGTTCGAGGATTCCGTGAAGAGGCGTGGCTCCGGCCATCCAGGCAGAAGGGGGAAGCTCTTTAGCTATCTCGCCGCGCAGAAGAGGTGGTTTTTTCCCTCCCCTTTTCCCGCAAAAGGCCGGGCCTCCCCCCCCCCCCCCGCCCGCCCGCCCGCCCGTATCCTTCCAGTCCTCCAAGGCCAGGCATTGCCTCGCTTGGCCCCAGGCGCTGCTCTCCTCCTCCTCCTCCTCCTCCTCCTCCGATCCCACGCGCTCCTGAGAGGGAGACCCGAGAGTCCGCGCCTCCTTCTCGCTTCCACTCTGCCCGAAGATGTCCGCCGGCGCCCACTTCCCGTTCCCCCACCAAGGCCTGGGTGGGCTGCCCCCTTACCAGACGCTGAAGGACGAGCGGGACGTAGAGCTGGCCGTGGCCCCGTCGGGGGCGCCTCGGGAGGCCTCCGCCACCGGCGCCACCATCGTCCTCATGCCGCCCGCCCGAGACCACCTCGCCTGGTCCCTCTTCAACACCTTCTACCTGAACTTCTGCTGCCTGGGCTTCGTCGCTTTGGTCTTTTCCGTCAAGGTGAGGGGGAGTGGGGACGAGGTTAGGCGGGGGGGGGGGGGGGGGTGTCTGTTAGTGTAGATCAGGCATGGCAAACTTCGCCCCTCCAGGTGTTTTGGACTTCAACTCCCACAATTCCTAACTGTCTACCGGCTGTTAGGAATTGTGGGAGCTGAAGTCCCGAAGGCCGAAGTTTGCCCATGCCTGGTCTACACTGTAGAATGAATGCAGCTTAATAATAATAATAATAATAATAATAATAATAATAATGTATTGTCCAAGGCTTTCATGGCCAGAATCACTTGGGTTGTTGTAGATTTTCCAGACTGTATGGCCGTGTTCTAGAAGCATTCTCTCCTGACGTTTCGTTTGCCAGTATTGCACCACCTGACATCTGCCAGGAAGTAGCAACCAAGGACCAAGGCAGTGACATCTCTGGCCCACACCCTGTCTGGGTGTCAGCCAGCATGCCAACGACTTAAATCAAGAAATAGTTTTCTAAGATCTACAGAGACACTCGCTGGAACACTTCAGCAAGCAAGAGTCCAAAAGTGGCAGGGTCAAACCCAGAACCTCAATCAATGGCTGATACCAAATGAGAGGCTCCCACCTGAGGGTCGGGACACATGGGGGGGGGGGTCATGAGAGGGTGTCAGAGGAGTCACTAAAGACCATCAGAAAACGCAGTATTTTCTGTTGGTCAAGGGGGTTCTGTGTGGGAAGTTTGGCCCAATTCTATCGTTGGTGGGGTTTAGAATGCTATTTGATTTGTAGGCGAACTATAAATCTCAGCAGCTACAACTCCCAAATGTTAAGATCTATTTTCCCCAAATTCCATAGTTGTTCACACTTGGGCATATTGAGTATCCGTGCCAAGTTTGGTCCAGATCCATCATTGTTTGAGTCCACAGTGCTCTCTGGATGTAGGTGAACTCCAACTCCAAAACTCAAGGTCAATGCCCACCAAATCCTTCCAGTATTTTCTGTTGGCCATGGGAGTTCTGAGTGCCAAATGTGGTTCAATTCCATCATTGGTGGAGTTAAGAATGCCTTTTGATTGTAGGTGAACTATAAATCCCAGCAACTACAACTCCCAAATGACAAAATCAATCCCCACTCAACCCCACCAATATTCAAATGTGGGAATATTGGGTATTTATGCTAAATTTGGTTCAGTGAATGAAAATACATTCTGCATATCAGATATTTACATGACAATTCATAACAGTAGCAAAATTAAAGTTATGAAGTAACAATTAAAATAATTTTGTGCTTGGGGGTCATCACAACATAAGAAACTGTATTAAGGGGTTGTGGCATTAAGAAGGTTGAGAATCCAGGTTGTGCAGGCCTGGTGTAGAAGCACCCTTATGGTTCAGAGCCAAACTAAAGCCTAGTTCCAGTGCAAGATGGAATGTCTTGGGATTGTTTGTTTTGCAAGGAAAGGAGCCTTGGAGATGGAGATGGAGGAGGAGCAAAATATTCCCCCATTTTTGCATTGCCGTGTAAGGTTATCTTCAAGGACTTTAAACACAATTGGCATCCTTCTAGCAGTGCAGGAAAGAAAGTCCTTCTAGAAATGGAGAGCAAAAGAAAACTGAATAGGCTTTTCTGTTGCTATCAGTGCCTCTGGCAAGAAAGCATTCATCCCTGCTTAATATGGAAAGCAGACAAGCATCCATGTGGCTTCAGTTTAGTGATATAAAGTTATCTTCTGTGATATAGCAGGCCTGAGCAACCTTAAGGAGTGAGGTGCTTAACTCACAGCTGTATACAAGTCTGGCATAGCAGTTTGAGCATTGGATTATGAATCCAGAGAACAAGATTCAGTTCCCTGCTCAGCCATGGAAACCCACTGGGTGGTTTTGGGGGCATCACCCATTCTCAGCATCCCCCCTTCCCCAGTGATAAATTCTCCATAGGGTCAGAAAGGATGTGAAGACACCCAATCGCCAACAAAACAGTTCACCACATGAATCAAGGAACATGAAAGGCACTTTAGACTAACTGAATTTGAGAAGTCAGCCATAGCAGAGTACCTGATGAACCAACCTGGACACAGCATATTATTTGAGAACACAGAAATGCTGGACCACTCTAACAATTATCATGTCAGACTACACAGAGAAGCCATTGAAAACCACAAGCATGTGAGCAATTTCAACAGAAAGGAGGAAACCATTTAAATGAACAAAATCTGGCTACCTGTATTTAAAAAACCTCTAAAATCAGGACAGTAAATAAAGAGCAACACTCAAAAAATGGGAATTCCAAACAAGAAACAATTAGAGCCAGCCAATACCTCCCAACAAAGGATTCCCCCAGGCAGCAGGCAGCCAGGCCTTGAAGCTACAAGGACATTAGATAATAATCAATGTGGACAATTGCAGCATTCACACTTGCTTCAAGCAGACAAGTGTTCTTTCACCTACCCTGGACATTCTACAGATTTGTAAACCTCTCTTGACTAGTTTCCAACAGATCTCACAACCTCTGAGGATGCCTGCCATAGATGTGGGTGAAATCTCAGGAAGGAATGCTTTTGGAACATGGCCATACAACCTGGAAAACTCACATCAATCCAGTGAATCCAGCCATGAAAGCCTTCGACAACATGATGAGGGATTAGAGGACATTCAACCCCAAATTGGGAAACAAGTCATCCAGGAATACCTGGCTGCTCTAAACGAGTTCAAGTCCCCAGGGCCAGATAAACTACACCCAAGAGTATTGAAGGAACTAGCGGAAGTCATTTCGGAACCATTGGCAACCATCTTTGAGAGTTCTTGGAGAACGGGAGAAGTTCCAGCAGATTGGAGGAGGGCCAATGTGGTCCCAATCTTCAAGAAGGGAAAAAAGGATGACCCAAACAATTACCGTCCGGTCAGCCTCACGTCGATACCAGGCAAGATTCTGGAAAAGATTGTCAAGGAAGTGGTCTGCAAACACTTAGAAACAAATGCGGTCATCGCTAATAGTCAACATAGATTTATCAAAAACAGGTCATGCCAGACTAATCTGATCTCTTTTTTCAATAGAGTTACAAGCTGGATAGATGCAGGGAATGCCGTGGATGTAGCATACCTGGATTTCATCAAGGCCTTCGACAAGGTCCCTCATTACCTTCTGGCAAACAAACTAGTCCAATGTGGGCTGGGCAAAACTACAGTGAGGTGGATCTGTAATTGGTTAAACGGATGAACCCAGAGGGTGCTCACCAATGCTTCCTCTTCATCCTGGAAAGAAGTGACGAGCGGAGTGCCGCAGGGTTCCGTCCTGGGCCCGGTCCTGTTCAACATCTTTATTAATGACTTAGATGAAGGGCTAGAAGGCAGGATCATCAAGTTTGCAGACGACACCAAATTGGGAGGGATAGCCAATAGTCCAGAGGACAGGAGAAGGATTCAAAACGATCTTGACAGATTAGAGAGATGGGCCAAAACTAACAAAATGAAGTTCAATAGTGACAAATGCAAGATACTCCACTTTGGCAGGAAAAACGAAATGCAAAGATACAGAATGGAGGACAATGCCTGGCTCGAGAGCAGTACGTGTGAAAAAGATCTTGGAGTCCTCGTGGACAACAAGTTAAACATGAGCCAACAATGTGATGTGGCGGCAAAAAAAGCCAATGGGATTTTGGCCTGCATCAATAGAAGCATAGTGACTAGGTCCAGGGAAGTAATGCTACCCCTCTATTCCGCTTTGGTTAGACCACACCTGGAATATTGTGTCCAATTCTGGGCACCACAAATCAGGAGAGATGTTGACAAGCTGGAATGTGTCCAGAGGAGGGCGACTAAAATGATCAAGGGTCTGGAGAACAAGCCCTATGAGGAGCGGCTTAAGGAGCTGGGCATGTTTAGCCTGAAGAAGAGAAGGCTGAGAGGAGATATGATAGACATGTATAAATATGTGAGAGGAAGCCACAGGGAGGAGGGGGCAAGCTTGTTTTCTGCTTCCCTGGAGACTAGGACATGGAACAATGGCTTCAAACTACAAGAAAGGAGATTCTATCTGAACATGAGGAAGAACTTCCTGACTGTGAGAGCCATTCAGCAGTGGAACTCTCTGCCCCGGAGCGTGGTGGAGGCTCCTTCTTTGGAAGCTTTTAAACAGAGGCTGGATGGCCATCTGTCAAGGGTGATTTAAATGCAATATTCCTGCTTCTTGGCAGGGGGTTGGATTGGATGGCCCATGGGGTCTCTTCCAACTCTTTGATTCTATGATTCTATGAACACATAGAACAGTTCAGCTAGTAACTTTGCAGCATGACTCTTTCTGTTCTCGGAAGAGGAGTCAGGTTTCTCCAAAAGCCCCCCTCCCCTCTTCCTTTGTTTACATCTGCACAAACATTGCTTTGCAATGGAAAAATCTGTTGCAAGGCAGTTGCGCAAACTAAAAGAACTGCATGTAGGTTCAAAGACCGTATCCATGGTTTTTGGTCTGCTACAGACAATTCATAACATACAAATCCTGAGGCTTCTGTTGCCAGATCTTGAATGCGCAACAGAAGCAGCTCTTAAACAAGGTTTTATTTACAGTGATATTGAAATAATTTAGAGCGACCCCGCCTGTGACTACCCTTCTTATTTCCATTAAAAACAAAACCAGTATCCTCACACACTCAATTTTATCTACACAATTCACACTCCTGAGCCATCCTAGTTGGATTAGACTGCAAAATATATTTTGCCCTGTGTTATTCTCGCATCCTGCCCTTTACCTCATTCCCTTGGAATTCAGGCTGAAGATATACTGACAAACAGATTTAAAAAAAAGTAAAGACTAAAGAAGAGAGGCTTGAGGCTTTGTATATTAAACGCACAATGATTTTACTACAAACTGACAAACATCTGCTTTTGTATAGCTGGTCCTTGCTACAAATTCACAAATACTTAATTTAAAAACCTTGTGCAGGAATACAAAAGGAAAAATGTACACAAATCTGAGATTAGAATTAAATGCTAGTTGGAGAGCATTTCAATATTTCTGGATATTCAATACAAGCAAGTACTGCAAGATGAAGTACTTTGGCCACATAATGAGAAGACAGGAAAGCTTGGAGAAGACAATGATGCTGGGAGAAATGGAAGGAAAAAGGAAGAGGGATCAACCAAGGGCACAATGGATAGATGTTATCTTTGAAGTGACAGGCTTGACTTTGAAGGAGTTGGGGCTGTTTGAAGGAGTTGGGGCTTCGTGAGGTCACGAAGAGTCGGAAGCGAGTGAACAAATAACAACAATACAAGCAAGAAATAACAAAAAGTAGAAAAGAACATCTGCATTGAATCATATTCACAAATTACAACCCATTCGCAGAGAAAGGAATAAAGATAATGACTTAATGGTGCCCGAATACATTACATGCACATATAGCAAAGGGAATATCCTCAGAGGAAGGTTCAACTCTTTGGCAGCTAATGGTTGCTTAGCAGATTGATTGCTTTCAAACATAGTAGATAGATACAAAATGTGAACTTGTGAAAAAGATCTTGGAGTCCTCATGGACAACAAGTTAAACATAAGCCAACAGTGTGATGCGGCGGTTTAAAAAGCCAATGGGATTTTGGCCTGCATAAATAGTCTAGAGTCTAGATCAGGGGTCCTCAAACTAAGGCCTGGGGGGCGGATGCGGCCCTCCAAGGTCATTTACCTGGCCCTCGCTCAGGGTCAAGCTAAGTCTGGATCGACTTGAAAGCACAACAACAATCCTATCTCATCAGCTAAAAGCAGGCCCACACTTCTCATTGAAATACTAATAAGTTTGTTTGTTAAAATTGTCCTTCATTTTAATTATTGTATTGCATTAAGTGTTTTTTGCACTACAAATAAGATATGTGCACTGTGCATAGGAATTCATTCATTTTTTTCAAATTATAATCTGGCCCTCCAACAGTTTGACGGACTGTGACCTGGCCCTCTGTTTAAAAAGTTTGAGGACCCCTGGTCTAGATCCATGGAAGTCATGCTACCCCTCTATTCTGCCTTGATCAGACCACACTTGGAATACTGTATCCAGTTCTGGGCACCGCAGTTGAAGGGAGATGTTGACAAGCTGGAATGTATCCAGAGGAGGGTGACAATAGTGATCAAAAGTCGGGAGAACAAGCACTATGAGGAGTGGCTTAAAGAGCTGGGCATGTTTAGCCTGCAGAAGAGAAGATTGAGAGGAGACATGATAGCCATGTGAAAGGAAGTCATAGGAAGGAGGAAGCAAGCTTGTTTTCTGCTGCCCTGGGGACTAGGAGGCAGAGCAATGGCTTCAAACCACAGGAAAGGAGATTCCACCTAAACATTAGGAAGAACTTGTTCAGCAGTGGAATTCTCTGCCCCAGAGTGTGGTGGAGGCTCCTTCCCTGGAGGCTTTTAAGCAGAGGCTGGATGGCCAATCCATCTGTTAGGAGTGTTTTGAATGCGATTTTCCTGCTTCTTGGCAGGGGGTTGGACTGGATGGCCCACAAGGTCTTTTCCAAACACAATGTTTCTATGATTCAGTGATTCTATAAATACTAACTAACCACTGTAAAGATTTGAAGATTGAATGTGAGAATCATAGTTTGTTTCTTTCTGGATCCAGTTACGTTCTATTTAACTAACACAACTGTATATACAGGCAGTTCCTGAGTTACAAAAATCTGACACAACAGGAAGTGAGAGAAATCGACCCCTAGGAAGGGAAATTCACTCCTGGAAGAGTTATCACAGGGAAAAGGTGCCTCTATAAAAGCTTTATCACCAATTCTTGTTTTCACAACAAGCCATTTATTTTCAAAACCCAATTATCACAGGGACAGAAAGTAAGGATTTTCGAATATCCGTTCTGAAAGTCCTTCGTTCATGATGCAATGCAATACACCTTTATTTCTGACTAGAAATGTATAAAACGGGAATATAAAATCTGTTCTATCCATAAGCAAAAATGGGCTGTTTTAAAAAGACACATCAAGCAGGTTTTTTATAACAAAAAGTACAGTGATTAATCCAGAATTACTTTCCTCCATCTAAATTGCCACAGCCCTTTCTAAGTGTTAGAAGTTGGTTTCTTTTTACAGTAGTAGTAGTAGTAGTAGTAGTAGTAGTAGTAGTAGTAGTTTTGTGCCTTCAGATTGTTTCTGTCTTAGGGTAAATCCCCCTTATCATGGGGCTTTCCTAGTAAGATTTGTCAGAGGGGGTTTGCTTTGGCCTCCCTCTCAGGGGAGAAAATGGGACTTGCCTTATTTTCTGACGGGTTTTTATGACTAGCACAGGGTTTTTGTACATGAGATACTCTCTTTGCTGAGGGTTTGAGGTGAGTGTCATTTGGTGCTATTGATCAGCAATGCTTTTTTCATTTCACCTTTAAAAGATCATTTCTCTCCTCTCCTCTCTCAACAGGCAAGAGATTGTAAAGTGGTTGGTAACCACATTGGAGCTAGCAGATATGGTACTATTGCCAAGCGCCTGAACATCCTGAGTCTCCTAGCAAGCATCGCTTTGATCCTCGTGTTCTTTGCTGCCGTTTTTGCCCTTACTGCACAGCTAAAGCAGAGCTCCGTAAACTTTGAGTCAGGACCCGAAGTGGGTTCGCCATAACTGTAACTTGGGCTTGCTCTCCCTTCTCTCCCACATGAACATGTGCATTTCTCTGCCTTCCCCTCTCTCACTCATGTCTCTCTGCCTTTCCTTTTCCCCTGCACATACACACACATGTGTTTTTGTCTTTCCTTCTTTTCTGAATGTGCCTTCAGATACCTGGGTTCACATAAAATTTCTCAGGTGGAAAGGCTTAAGAAGCCCTGTTAGGCTTTGCTGCAGAGTGGCTTCTATTTTGAAAAACCTCTTTTATAATCTTTTCCCAACCTTCTTTTACTTCACAAGGTAACCTCATATAGTGTGTCATATCATTTAGTCAGATACCAATGTGTAATTTGCCAAAAAGAGTGGCTTGAAAGTCTAGTATGCTTTGAGAGCGTAGCATGGCATCTGCAGTTGTGTCACTCTTAGCTTTGCCAAGATGGAGGTGGATAGGTTTCCATTTCATGCACAGTTATACAGTGGGAGTGTGTTGTTCCAGACTGCTTTTTCTCACTCCATATGATCCTGGTGCCTTTTCTACACTCTTGAATTAGTGTTCTACTGTGTTTAACCAACCACCTTTTCTATTGAATGTAGACAACCTCAAAAGCAATGATGTGTTTTGAGGGTGAAGTTGCATGTGAGAATCCACTGTGTTCTGATCAAATAAAGTCATGAGTGGGTGGAAACGAGGGCTTTCTAGCTCCTCCCTTTTTTGCAAGATCCTCCACTTGTCATCTTTTTTCCTATGACTTTTGTAATAAGAGATGTTTGTAAAGCCTGGTTTGGTTAACATTAATAGTCTTTAATACATTTGTAGAAAAACAGTGTGTGTTCTTGCTTTATTTCTTGGCTGGTGGGCCAAATAGTTCTTGAGCAACAGTCCTAAACATCATATACACCAAAATCATGGTTCTAGAGCAGTGATAATCAACCTGTGGCTCCCCAGATGTTTTGGCCCTGAAATCCTAACAGCTGGTAAACTGGGATTTCTGGGAGTTGTAGGCTAAAACACCTGGAGATCCACAGGTTGAGAACCACTGCTCTAGAGGGAAACAGCAATGATAGTCGGATTTCCCTTGCTTCCAAGACTGAAGAACTGCTGGTTGTGGATGCTAGTGGATGGGCTTTTGCATCAAGCAGGGGGTCAAATGGCCTGCAAGACCCTTTCCAATCCCTTGTAGACTAGATTGCCTGCAAGATCTCTTCCAACTCTACAAGTGGAAATCACAGTGCAAATAGGCAGATTATAGGTACTCCAACTGGTTCTGGGGTTACAGCACTTTTTCTATAAGTGTGGTACAGAGAGGGAAAGATTGAAGGAAATTGACAAAAATTGCATATTGTACAAAAAAGAAAAGAAATATTTTTTTCCTGTTGTTCCAAACATGAGAACTCAACCAAAAGAGATATCCAACAGTAGAGACAAAAGATCTGCTATTTCATACCGCAAAGGTTTTTCCAGGATTCAGAGATGGTTTTGTCAATCCCTTCCTCTGAAATATAGTGTACTACAGCATTTGGTATTCATTGGTAGTCTTCCATTCAAGTACTTAGAGTTGACTCTGCTTCGTTTCCATAATCAAATGGGAGCTGCTTTTAAGGTCTTGAAGACATATCAATAACTTCATGTTTTAAAGGCTAAGTGCTGCCATCAGATTATAAACATAAATACTTTAGTAGATCACCTATGAGGAAGCATTAGCCTTAGTTTACAGGTATAAATCTTAATTTCATCTTGCACATAACAATAAAGAATTTCAAATATTTTCTTCCCACTTGAATGAGGTTGGGAGTTTTGCATATTTTTCATTCTCCCCTTCTCTCTCTCCCTCATTTTAGATCTTTTGGGGGAAATTTATTTCTGCTAAACTGTATTTTCCACAAAAACAGGATTTTATAGAAGTGAGTTCTCTGCCTGTACATATTTATTTATTTATTTAAAACTCTTTTATCCCAATCTTCTCTACCTTCTCTATCTTCTCATAGACACTTTTCACAAGAAATCCAGAAATGCATTTCCCCGACCCCAAAATCTTAGAAGTTGACAATTTATTTTTCAAATGGTATCAATGTAGGTTTTTTAAATTGAGGACCAGAATTTGTGAGTTTTGTTTACATTCAGATTTCAGATGCCTTTATCTTTCCTGATCAACAGCTATGCTGGTTTGGACAGATACATGATGGCATCCAAAAATTTATTACCCCTACAATGCTGCAATAGAAACTAGTACAGAAGATCAATGGCCAGTTGGAACAGAAAAGGTTTATATCACCCAGTGGAAAGACGGCAGAAAAAGAACGAAATAATCTTCCCTGAAATTTCAAAGTCTCAACACCCTCATTGTAATACACTAAAAGGCTCATATGGAAAATATGTTTTTTAGTTTTGTGTAAGGCTGCCTTATAATGCTATTTGCTGTAGCCAATCAACAGGGCTTTTATGTAAATACATAAGGTTATAAATTACTGTTCATATTGCTGTAGTTTAGAAAAAAAGCCACCGACCTGCCTCATCATACCAGAGCATGGATCCACTTTAAATCAGGTTTCTGCCTCCTGCAGAATTCTGGGGTTTGTAGTTTAGTGAGGCCCAGGAACTGTCTGGCTGAGCAGTTTAAAGGCCCCACCCTGAACTACAAGCCCCAAAATTCTGCAGGAGGCAGAAACTGGATTTAAAGTGGATCCACGCCATAGTTTGTTGAAGTCCAACTTTTTTCAAGGGCTTCTTTTCTCCATTATGCAGAATGCTAACATTAAAGGCTGAATGATTTCCCATATTTTGATGGTTTTATTTAATTCAAAAAATATCTGTAACAAAGTGAAAGGCAAAAGAGAAAGAAATGTGAAAGGCTTAATCATCTAATAGCCTAATACACTAAAGAACTGCAAATGGGTTACTTGCAACTTGGCCCAAATAATACCATTTCAAAACTATGTTGTGGAATAATATATAATAGAAATCAATCCAAAATATAACCAGTGAGGAAGGGAAAGTTACTTAAGGGAGTACACTTCAATCCCTCAGAAAGATTCCAAATATTTTTATTTCATATAGATTGGGGGATGGGAGCTGCCTTTGGGGCTAAAAGATCTTTCTGAAAGGGTCCCAAATATTGCATATGTGAACATTATACCAGAATACACAACAGAAACCAGTGCAACACAAGTTCAACACAAGAGGGAAGTTACTGTTCAGGATACAATGCACATGGCTCCTATCAAGCACTTCCCTTCCCTACAGACCTGTGTGTTTCTGAGTGAGTGAGAAAAAGAATTAGACCCACATTCTCCTACGCATCCTGATTCTGTAAATCAGTGAAAGCCTTCCAGGCTTCCTGATATGGACAAAATATGGTTATGAAACCATTAACTGTAACTGAGTCAGAGCCAGCTGATGAAAGTTATTTTTCAACATGTATTTGTTTCTTAAGGCAATCCCTTTTGTGTCAAACATTGCACCTTCACATAATGGAGAGAAAGGTGCAGAATCATTTCCTTTCTATACAACACAGCTCTGCCAAACTGAAAAGAAAACAAAAATCAATACCAGAATATTTTAAACATTTGACCTGAGAAGAATAAGGAGGATCAGGGGCAACTCCTGACTGAGGCCCCATCGACACTACCATATAAAATCCAGATTATCTGGTTTGATAATCTGGATTATATGGCAGTGTAGAAGGGGCCTCAGTCACCAGATTGCAAACTGGTTACAACAGTCAAATTGAGAACTAAATTGGCCCTTCTTCATTCCCATCTCTGTTATTTGGGGATTTCTCTTTTATAAAGCCACTATTCTGACTCACTAACTGTATGTTGGTTTACATGTGCAAACAAGTTATAACAACAGATGGCTGAAGAAGAGTGAAACCAAGCAAATGCAAAGCTAACCAGGAAGGAACTAAGTGAATTATTACTGTTGGTGATGAACAATATCTTTTATGCCTTTGCCAGCAGCTGTATATGAAGCTAAACCTGAACTTGTGTTCACACATGTAGCTAAAAGATATAATATTTTTTTAGGCCTGTGCAATCATTGAAAAAAATGTTTCCATACTCATTACGAAATTAGGGAATGGTGCAAGGGAATCATTTCTAAAGTATTTCTGAAATTAGATAGGGTTCATATCATAACTATAATGAGTTAATGACTTTTTATTAAGTAATTGTGCCAATGGGGAAACTTCAGGGCTGCTTTCTCCCTCATTGTTAGAGCTATTGGCATGAAACTTGCAACGGTACAGAACTCATTTACCACTGTTAGCCCATCAAGTTTCAGAACATTTCACTCATCCATGGATTTTTAGAGAATTTTCAAAGTTTCAGCAAACAACATTTAAAAAGCTATAAGAGCTATTTCCTTGAATTTTCTATACAATGACACAAGATAACAGGAGATCATTTCCTCCAAGTTTCAGAAATATTCATACAACTACAGATTTTGGGGATTTTTTTAAAGTTTTGACAAAAACATTTTTAAAGCCATGACAGCTATCTCATTGAATATCTTCAACCAACAGAACAATTTTGGGATTTCTTCCCAACCCAGCACAGATTTACTTACAAGTATTAAAATATCAGTCAGTCCTCCTCTTTGCAGTTCCACAATTTATTAGGACTCTAGCTGGCTACTCCTACAGAGGGACAAATCTCTCCCCTATCCTAATTGGGGCTTCCTGATGCTGAGCAGAATTCTGAGAAATATAGTTTAGGGCAGGGCCTTTTGAATTTTCTGACATAGGACACCTCAGTTTCCCAAACTACATTTCCCAGAATTCTGTGCTCTCTTGGTCTCTTTCCCAGCTCACTCAGTTCGTCCCACCCTGCTGCTTTCCTCTCCTCATGGTGAGAGGCAGCCCATCTCTTCTTAATTTAAAGAGGAATGGCATCCTTTTCAGTTTCACCTTGCTTGCATTGAAAATGAAACTGACTTTACAGTTTTCAAATGAAAAAGTATTGGGTGAGTTTTGATTCTCAAGTTCCCCACTCCACTCCACTGTGTTTCGTAATATCAGTTCATATATACAAAAATTACAAATTAGATATGACTTACTATTTAAAAATAAAGATTTGCACACCCTAATATTTATTAGGTTTTTCTGTGTATAAGATACACTCTGGTTAGAAAGAAGGAAGGAAGGAAGGAAGGAAGGAAGGAAGGAAGGAAGGAAGGAAGGAAGGAAGGAAGGAAGGAAGGACTCATAGATCCTTGAGACAAGGTTTTTGGAGCATATACCTTGTCTCTGATTACAGATGAGATTTCTCAGACATTCTTCCCTCTATTGCAGGCCCTTGTTCTGTGCAAATGGATCTGAAAAAGGGGCCCAGGCAGACTTTGCAACTGTGATAAAACTTGCAATGTGATCTTCTTCCTTACCTCCATTGCTTTTGCTTTGTGAGTAATTCTTGTGAGGTCGCAATCACAAGCCAAACTGAATTTACTAGCGCTCCTACTAATAATCCATGACCAACTGAGCCTTGTGACTTCTACATTAGGGTGCTTCTAGACTTGAATTAAACATGCACCGAAACAGGTTTAAGAAACCCCTTTGATCACGCATTTAAACCCCGGTTCCCAGGCCCAATCCACACTGGGCCCAGACCTGGAAAGACCCATGTCTTATCAAAGATTTCAATTTTACCAGGAATCTAATTAATTCAGGACAAAGCAGGGTTTACTTGCTTTGTCCTGAATTAATTCAGTTTTACCAGAGAGGTCATTTGGATGCCTCCAGTAAAACTGTGACAGGTCTCGGGTTAAAGGCCTGTCTGGATGGGCCCTTATTCATAAGGAAGTGAATTTTCTTCCAACAATCTACGACAT